GTTCGGCCCCCGCCAAAACTTATTTTGGGGCCTATTTTTTTTTTTTTTTTTTTTTTTTTTTGTGATTTCTCTACACCCCAAAACTCCAATCTTCTTTCCTACCTTTTCATATGGTTTTTAATTGGTCTCCCAGTACTTGTACGATCCGATGGTAGATGTTGTGAGATATTTTCGATGATCGATGGTCATCGCTGCACACCCCAGAAGAACGCCACGATCAGGCTAACTGGCGCGCTGTCAACAGTGGCGTAAAAAATCGTTGAAAACCCTCCCGGCCTGCCGACGTTCATGATCGGATGCCCCACACTCATTTTGAAAGTTGCAGATGCTCAGCAGCTTGCCATGGGTCGTGCCCGATGGGCGATGTGTTAGGATTATGACTCCATGGAGTTCATGCAGACAGCAAAGCGTCCTTGGGCCTAAAAAAAGCTCTAAACGCGGATATTATGTGGGCCGAATTCCGGGTCTGATCTGAATGGTGTCCTGGTTCATCTCCAGTGTAAGCATGGCTCAAACTATTGCCTGCCATCTTCACCTTTGTGCTCAGTGACCCCATTGGACACTGCTATTTCTTGGTCTTCTTGAAGGTGACAGATCCCTTCTCTGATTGCTGGATATGAAGTGGTGGCCAAAACTGCTTCAACATGCATCCTTTATCCGATGGCCATGCATTGCAAGCTTGAATGATAGTTTAGTTTCCATCATTGCCAGTCATCATTGCCAGTCGTCAGTGCTTCAGATTGCAGATTGCTCTGGAGTCGAGAGAGGTCCCTTTGGCGGCATGGGACCAGTCTTCACGAGGGCTAGAACAAGGATGGACTAGCAGGATTGGTTGGGAAGGCTGGTGGCCACCAGCTTCTATGCGCTTCTCTCTACAGAAAGCCCGAAACATGGTTAGCTCATGTGGAATTGCTTACAGAACTTTGGAATTGTGTGGACCGGACTACTATAGAGTTGGTGTACATAACTATTCTAAACCTATACTGCGGTCAGCCTAAGTTTTAACGATTTATTCGTGTCATCCTTTTGCAGGGGCCATGCTAATCTTCTCTGTATCATTCCGGTGTTAAAGGATGTCCTGAAGGACCCAACATAAATTTCAGTATCACTCCTTGCTGAATCTTCTTTTAGGATCTAGTGTTTGCATTCATGTTGAATCCACCCCTGCACGAGCATGTGGTCTGAAGGATATACGACAGCCTCACAGTGACACTAGATCTGATGCATTTCCTAAACTATCGGGGTTTGCAAGGAGCTGAGGAGGATGGACATGGGAACACCACTTAAAGGTATTCTCAAGAACCTGAGAGAAGCTTTACTTGTGTGTTCATTGCCTGTGCTGTGGCGGGCGGGTTTTGCAGAATGGGCAGCCAAGGGAAGCATGGATGGAGAATGTCAGGGCGGAGGGATAAGTCTTCACGGGGCCGGATTTCGGTTGAACCTGATTGGAAAAAATGACCTGTCTCTTTGCAGGAGCTCCTGGCATATGATGATTATTATGACAAGTCCTCTGGATACCCATTTTCTTCTGCAAGGATAACGGTTATCAACTTGCTCCTCGACCGCATCTATGGGAGAGAAGAGCATCCTCTAGAACGTTCCAGAATTCTCATAGAGCGGGCACGGGTGAGCAGATCAGCCAGGAGTGGTGTCGATCTCCCCAGATGTAATGAAGACTTGGCAGAAGCTGTGGAGATACTCGTAAGTTTCCTTTCATCTTTCAGGGAAGGGGGAGTGATCATGCTGTGGTTTCATGTTCCATGTACTGTCTTGTATCATTTATCCATGAGCACTCTCAAGTCCTTTGAATGGCGATAGGTAGGTTAGGATACCAGTCAACTTCTATAGGGATGTACCTGTTAGTCCAATCCAGACACTTCTTCGCGGATATGACACTTCCCTTTCATGGTCGAACGGACAGGCCAACGTCTGCCTAGGGATCATACCCATCAATTGCCAGGAGCTCGCGGATGTCTCATTGATAGTGGGCGTTTTGGGTGCTTAGGGATGGCTTCTCTCAGTTCTCTTCACATTCACCAATGGTAGATAGGAACCGAACTGTCTCACGACGTTCTAATTGTTATGTTGGCCTGGGCCATTGGCCTTGGGAGTGTACCTTGGGAAGTCCTCTGCTCATGGAGTCTCTTGCTTGGACTTTGGGGGCGGGAGGTCAGTCTGGTCTGGAGGTCCTTGGATGGTGGTTTGTGAAAGACAGAAAGGCACACAACAAGCCAAACTCGTTATGTGTTGTGAGTAGCAAATGGAGATATGAACAGAGTGTGTACTGCTAGGATCCTTGGTCACTCTTCAATATAAAAGCTCTCAAAGAGACAATGCCATTTCATTCTAGGCTGTTTTCCCGGGCGCCCGGGCACCCAACTTCTGCCCGGGTACACGCCCGGGTGCCCGGACGGGCATGACCCCCGGGCAGGGTTCCGGGCAGCCCCAGCGCAAGAAAAAAAAAAAAAAACTCAAAAAATTCCGGAAAAAAAATATGTTGTGTAGGATTGAAATGCAAACCACTTTCGGCTGAGGGTCACATTATAATTCCTCACAGAATCGGAGATAAAAAAGAAAATAACAGAATCACACAAAGGCACCCCCCTTTAGACCCCTTTAGCCCCTTTAAAWMCAATTTATATCCCCCTCCCCCCCCCTTGACAGCCAACTCGCAAAAAACGAAATGAGCCCGGATTTGGACTCCTCTGGGAGAGCGCAGAAAACCAAAAAAAAAAAAAAAAAATCTTTTTTTNTTTTTTTTTTTTTTTTTTTTTTTTTTTTTTTTTTGTGGCAGCCAACGTAAGTTCGAATGCGACTCAATGCTTGTGTGCATTGTTTGATTTTGCTTTGTTGTCTTCGAGGCGCGCTCGCCCACCTCTCTGTTTGTCCACCTGCCTGCCACCCACCCACCAACCACACACACATATATATTATATCTATTTGGGAAGCCTGGGTTTGAAGCTAGGCAGGGGTGTTGAGGTTTGAACTGCTTGATTGTTGCAGCTGGGTTCGAACCCATGCACAGATCTTGAGGTACCAACTGCCTGACGAGTTAACCGCTGAGATAGACTAAGTCCCTGTCTCATTTTGGGCACCCGTTTTATTTGAGGTGTACCACGTACACTGCTGTGAGTGCCTTCCTTTGAACTGAAGTACCTCCCTTTGAATGTTTGCTTCTCTGTTCCTTTTGTCCCAGCAAAAAAAAAAAAAAAAAAAAAAAAAAAAAAAAAAAAAATCTTTTTTTTTTTTTTTTTTTTGCACGCCCGGGTACCCCGGGCGTCAGACCCCCCCGGGCGTCACGCCCGGGTGCCCGGCCGGGCAGGACCGGCCGGGCGTGAGAATCTTCCTAGATTTCATTGCAATTCAAATAAAAGAGATTAGAAGAAGAGATACGACAAAGAGGGAAAGAAAAATGAAGAAGAAGAAGAAGAAGAAGAAGAAGAAGATGAATACAAGTTGAACCAATGTCATCTCCTCTCAACACCTCCATAATCTTCCCCCTCATGAACTCCTCCATCATCTTATTAATAAGAATAATAAACAACAGTGAATGAAAGTGCCATAATCAATGTCCAAAATTTCAACTTTACTGTCAGCACTCAGAGTAACGTCCTTGCGGCCATAGCCTCACTCCTCCTCACTTGGTAGCTGCCCTTGCTCTGGTGAAACAGCAATGTGCATCACGGATGTTCAAAGGACACTGAAAACTTCACTATGCCTCTCGCATCCATAGCCGCCATAGCCATGCGTTTGGATCAAGTTCCAGCACAGTCTGTACCCACACATGGGCCTTCTAGATGCAACACCAACCGATGAAGTGGAGATGAAGGTCCGCCATAGCCAAAGGTGAGCCTCCTTCCTGGATCCCACCTCCTTCCTCCTCGTACCTCCTATTCTCCTCCATAACCAGGCTCGAGGTCCATCACCCTCACCTCCATAGCCATGGCCTATCTCTGCTCCTTCCCACTACTCCATAGCCATGGAGGTCTTCACCATCACCCTCCCAACTCCACCTTCTCCTCCAAGTTCTCCACCAACTTCTTCCTCTGGGCGGAGCACAATGCTCACTTGAAGAATTAACCGAAGGGAGCTCTACTGCTCTTGGCACCACATGATGTACTCTTTTCCATCAGTGCTTTCTGGCCAAATGTCACTGTAGCCCGGCCTGCCTTGGTGCCCTGGACCTACTGGAAGTTCCTGCCTTTTGTCAGCAACATTATTGCAGCCTGCTACTAACCCCCAGGTTCTGAATCGATCCTACCGTCTTCACCCGAAAATAACGCCCGGGCATTCTGTACGAATATAACGCCCGCCGGGCGTTATATTCGTTTATAACGCCTTGGGCGTTGTATTCAATAAATTTGTGGTAACTTCGGTGAGGCCCCAAAATTCCGAAAAGAAATAAAATAAAAAAATATGTTGTCCAGGATTGCAATGCGACCAAGTTTTGGCTGAGGGTCACTTCAGAATTCCTTATAAACTCGGAAAAGAAATAAAAAAATGAAGCCGAAATATACCCCTTGGAAGTTGAAACCCAATTCAACCCTCTTCAAAACCCATGTATTCCCGCTTCCCCGCCCTTTAAAACCCATGTATACTACCTCTTCAAGGCACTCTGCCCATGGACCATTCAAATATAACGCGTGGGCGTTCTATTTGAAAAAAGGTGAGTAAAAACGAAAATCTCATATTTTTAGGGTAAGTTTAATATAATGTCCGGGCATTATTTTCTGGTGAAGACGGTAGTACGTGTCTATGTACAGTCCCTGGACCTTTGCTGCATTTTGGAATTTCCCTGAGCCTACTGGGCCTACTTGGACCTACCCGAGTTGCTGAAAACGGCCTACCGGTACCTGTCAAATTCTACAACTACCCCCGGCTGTCTAGAGTTTCCAGTAAGTTCTTCTGTTGCCAAAATTTGGGTCTGTCCCTGTGTCTGTTCCTATTGCCATTCTACCCCAGCTCGAGGCACAGAAACACAGCACGGAAAACAGAGTTAGCACAAGGACACAGACTTGGACTCGGGCAAGCGCAAGGCACATGGACAGCAAATCGCAGCAGAACAGACTCAGACTCGAAATCCTCAGAAGTCGGACCAAAAGAACAACATTTTCTCAGAAATTGCCGGAATCTCAGACATTGATTTTGTGGGGGTCATTGCAGTACAAACAGCATGATACGAATCAAGAGGAGTGAAAATTTCAATAGCAAGCGGAAGCCAACCTGAACGGATTATCAAGATGTCATCCATGGAGACTGAATGACGGATAAACACTGAATTCGTTGAGAGTAAACTCAGTAAAGCAATGCCAAATTGACAACAGGAGTTGGGTTTTCTGATGCTTTGTATGCATGGGATGATCATGTATGGTTTGTTGTTTTGATTACTGTGTTCTGTTGCATTGTGGATAACGACACTTCATCGGACATCTGTACAAGGTGACTGCTTGAGAGCTTCTTTGTGCGCTTTGATGTCTACCACGAATTCTGTTATGCTAAGCATGCCTCTGATTGTGCTTGCCCATTTGCTTGAGCTGTGTAGTCCAGTCGAGCTGTGTAGTCCAGTGGATGCTGATGCTTTTCCGGGCTGCAGCTGAGGATCCAGTCATTTGTTCAGTTGTGGTGTCTCTAGAGCAGATTGATGCATACTGTATCTACAACATTATGGTTGTTATCCCTGTGGACCCGTTTTCCAGCAGGTGATGCTCCCCACTAATAGATGGAGCGTCTTCCCAGGTGTTAGTGGAGTCTGCTCTTACCAGCAGCACTAACACTGGTGGGGGAGCTGACTGACAGTCCCTGGTGGCCGGACTTGCTGAAAGTCAGGTGATCAGACAGAAATGGTTGCTCTGACAAATAACTGCAGCAGCCAGCACAAGCTGTAGCAGTCACGATCTGACAACTCAAGTCAGCAGCAGCGGCAGGTTTCTTTCTCACCCCCCAAGCTTGGTACCGCATCATTGCTGGACTTCCCGTGGCAGCTTTTTTTGCGCCCCCCACCTCTCCCACCAAGGTCTCTGCCGGGTCATTATTGGACTGCCCTGCGGCCCTGCTGTGTATCAGTGCAAAATGCACTGGTCATCAGACTCCTGATATTCAATCTCCACTGCGCCGCAAGCGAAACTGCCCCAGGAAACTGCTTTAAAAGAGAGCCAACTTATTTGTCCAAGTAGGCTTTACACCTGATGTTGGTTTACTCCTTGGATATTTGGGTGATGGTTGGTCACTTGGGTGCAATAACAGAGCATGAAGCACTTGACCAAGGGGGGTGATCATCCGCGGTTGGCCATGTTGGGTGTTAGCTTTGGTGTTCATAGGATTCTGTGATGTGAAGGTGACTGGTTCAGTCCGTTCTTCTTTGACCGAGTACAAACAGGCAAGATGCGGAGGCAGACATGGTGCACCTCTTATGCCCCTCCTCCTAGGTGTTTGTTGTACGTGTTCATGGGGGGAAGCTCACCTGAAGTGGTGTGGGCTGGCCTCAACTTGTGGTAGATAGAGTATTCCCTTGGAATTTTCCCCTTCTCTGTTTGCTATTGGTTCCTTTGGCTGCAGCAAACTCATGAGCTGTCACCAATGCTTTGTCTTCTTGTCGTCTCTGCTGTTTGCCTAAACGATCTTTCCCTGGTGGTTCAGGATTGGAAGTTGCAAGTGCGAGGTAGACATGATATTGGCCTATTGACAATTGAAGACGAATGTGCAGTTGCTCACTGCTTGGCTGGTCTTTGCCTCGTGGAGGTTGATCCATCGTCCAAGGTATCATCTTTTCCATGTGCTTTTCCGAGGTTATTGCTGCACTCTTTTACTGTTTAGGGGGGTAGTAGACCTTTGCTCTCCCACCTGTGCTCTGTTACTGTTTACCTTTGCTAAGATCGGATGTCGTCATGAGGAAGGTCCAGGGGAACCTGATGGAAAATGATCAGCCTGTTTTCTGCTTTCTTATTGGAACATTAAAATGCAGGACTTCTTGCCGCATTTTCGAAAAGCGATGGATTTATGGGAGCAGATCCTACCAAAGGGAGTGAATGTGGGCTTCAGGGGTGATCCTGAAGAGAGAACTTCGGATAATCACAATGCTGATGAGGATGCTGGCACTGGAGCTAAGGCTGGTACTCTGAGAGAGGTGGAGGATGATGGCGCCATCCAGAGCCGGTTCAGGAGTCTTTCCAGTTCCTTGGTGATTCTTTTTACTGTTGCTGACCTCCTGAGTCTCAAGGTGAGTATCATGTTCAGCCACGAGTTTCCCATATGAAGGGAGTTGTGGTGCATTGCAGTATCTTGCCCTTGCCGCTGCACTTCATTGGCTTTGTGCCCAACAATGCTCGGCCCCAAGCCCGCCCCTTATGTTAGGCAGCCGGATGCTGGATGAGATTAGCATGCACACAAAACCCAGCAGAAACTCTGCCCTGTACACTTGTTCTATGCCAAAACCCAGCATTGAACGGCCTGAGCGAATGAATGAACAAAACAGTGGTTTTTGGTTGTTTCCCAATGTTAACCTCTTACCAGTTCTATGCCAAAATGCTCTAGTACTTGCTATGAACCTTCGAATTTCATCCACTGAGCATTGTACACTCCATCTATGAAGGTTTGAACATCATCCAATATAATTGCCTAACTGAGATGGAGTCAAGTACTGGTGCATGCAGCAGTTCCAGCTTGCCACCTTACCTGTCCTTCTGTAACCTTTTCAACTTGTGTCTTCATTACTGTAAGAAAGGCAAGGGCCTGAACCATACTTGCGGCGCATCCTGTGCGCGGGGTCGCGGCACATGCCGCACATGCGGCGCATCCCGTGCGCACGTGATGCGGTGCATCGCCGAAATAGGGGTCGGTAAAAAAATTCGGGAAGGGCAGGGTGTGAGGACCAAACACGCCCCCTCCCTTCTAAAAATTCATAGTGCAAACGGAAATTTTTTTGGGCCACGTTAAGCCTAAGAACTGCGTATGCATATTCTATTTCCAATCTCTTTCGCGAAGGACCCTTGCAGACAACTGGCAAGAGCTCATCATGAAGCAGAGATGGTCGGTGAAGTGTGAGCAGGGCGTGGGCAGGCCGAATATATGCTCTGGATTTGAATTCATGTCTGTGAAGCAGTTATGGGTTACTAACTTCGCTAGGCCAGATCTCTGCACGCAATTCTCTTTTTTTTGTTTTTCTTTTCTTAGGAATAGGTGGAGTGGCCCTAAATCTCGGTCCAGTACTCACTACATGCACAAAAGACAAAACATATGGTGGCGTATGGTTCCATGTTAGAGGGATATTCATTTTAGTTTTGCACATTCAGTGAGAAGCTCTGAGAATCATGTGCAGAGGCCAACAGGGCCTGGCGAAGTTAGCAACCCATAACTGCTAAAACATAGACCTGAATTTGAGTTCACACTTTATATTCATGGCCCGTTCTTGCATCTGTAAATACGGTGCCCACCCCTGCTTGCTGATAGGACCTTGGCTTTCTTAGTGGAGGGACTCAGATGCCTTGTAGTGACCCTCCTTTTTACATGAAAGAGGACCTTTGCCTGCAATCTCTCTCTCTCTCTCTCTCTCTCTCTCTCTCTCTCTCTCTCTCTCTCTCTACACAGACAAACCACATGTAAAAAAAAAAAAAAAAGAAAAAATGCGCGGCGCGCGCATCATTTGCGCAAGGCGCACGCGCATCCCATGGCGCACCACACCAGTGCGCTGCAGGTATGGCCTGAACACATCCCAGTATCAACACAGTGATAAGCATCTGGCGGACATTGGTGGTTGAGACGTAATCTTCAGGGGGGCAACTGCATGCTCGTATGTTCAACGTGGATAGTCGATACCTATAATGGTTTGAGTCAGTCATGATGCACATCATGACCTATGATGATGGATGTTGACTTCCTCTGCGAGTTCCATCCTGCACAGTATACATGCCTGTTTGAATCCGTTGTGATAAAATGCATAGGCAACAGAGTTTCTGTTGTGAAAAACCAAGATTGGCTTCACTCTTGAATGCGTCCTAACTTGTGCACACATAAAACAAAGTTTAGTCTGTTTAGAACGTTTCGGCCCTTATAGCAGGAAAAACAAGACAAGCTCTGTATAGCAAAGCTAAAAATTCTACCAGTGCACCACATGCCCAGTTAAAAATTAAAATGTAAAACCTTCAGTCTTCAAACTGGATGATTCAGACCGAGAGCCTAAGTCATTTTCTGTGCTCAACACTATTGTGTTAAAAAACTGCAGTCGTATTGCAGATCCCTGTTCAGAGCTCAGTTGTACCAAAGTCCTTGGCTGGTGTCAGTTTTCAGCAGTTTAGCACCCAGTGGCACAGTCTGTGATCTCTATTCCTGCCCATGTCCCGTGTGCCATAATGGCCCACCTGCATGCTATGAAAGGATGCAGAGTGAGGGGGAGGTATATCTTTGCATTGCAGAGGAATTTGAGTTGAGGAGCAGGTGTTGCCTATGGTAAGTGGCCACCCCTACAGACCGGACAGGACTGATTTGGGTGTGGACTGTGGAAGCACCCCATCCACTTCTAGCAGTTGCAGCTGCTTGGGTGTGGACTGTGGAAGCACCCCATCCACTTCTAGCAGTTGCAGCTGCTGCATTGAGTGACATGGCGTAGACAGATGTCGCAGGCTACATGGCTCCTACATGCTAGGAGTACACAGGCATGTGGACCGCAATTGTATAGGTATTGCCGTTTCAGCCCGTCTAAGAATACGACATGCGAATTGTGTCCTGTGCATGCTAACCGAATACCTGTATGGAGTCGCAATGGCATGGCACAGCCACTGTCCTCTGGAGGGGCCGCTTCACTGTCCACGGCAGAATCTGTCCAATCTACACAGGAAAGGCCACTACCGGGCCATGTGCAGCGGACGGGAGAGGGTCAGCTGGATTGCTCTCCGGAGGCAGTAGAGCTTGCGAGTGCACGTCCACATACTGTTTCTGATTGACCAGGCAGACCGAATGCCACTCAGTGATAGTAAGAGGTAATATTTCCCAGTGTGTGCACTTTTATCCCACAGGGGCCGTGAATTATCCGTGAAGGTAACAGCACTGAAATGACCCTGGCGATGCAGGATGTACGCACAAATATTCCGGTTCATGTCAGGCATATAATTCTGTGGAGCGGGCTTGACTTGCAGTCATCCTCCCATAAATGCCTTAGACAGTACTTCTTTCTTCACTCCTGCTGTACTGTCATCCTCAATGCAGCCAGCACGGTGCTTCTCTTCTATCCAGCGGACAAAGTCTGCAAAATCAGGAACTGTATAGGGGTTGCAATTGTAAGCCAGGAGACACACATTAATGGCATAGCATGCACAGTGCCCTCGCTTTAGCACTATGAGGCCATTTGATTCTGCAGATTGCATGGCCGGGGGGGTTGTGTGTGTGTGTGTGTGTGTGTGTGCGCCCCCCCCCCCTCTGTGTGCGAGTGCATGTATGATTGTGCATACCTGTGGATGTTTGATGCGTGTGCTTATTAAGGGTCACATTCAAGACCAAAGGCTTGTTAGTAAAAGTTATTGCTGTCTTTGTTTGCAGGGGTTTCATGAGCAACAGCAGGCGGCCTTGCGGCTTGGTCTGTGTCTGGCCATGGTTGTCACTGGAATTCCAAAAGAGAAGCTGTTCTGCAAGTTGTTGGCAGATTGCAGGATAAAACACTTACTTTGCAGAGACCTCTCCTACATGAGTGAGCTGTCATCGTTCGGACTGCAACTGGAATCAAGTGGTGGCAATGAAGCGGCACATGATTTCTGGAGCATTTGTTCAAGCCAATGCCCAGAATCTCTTCTTGCTGCACGAGTGCGGCTGAATGGGATTGGACCAGAGGAAGAATCTCCATGTGAGTGTTCCAGTTTTGGGGCAGGCGTTGCCAATGATCTCTGCAAAGGTGTTCATCAAGTAAAGGGGATGCTGAATGAGTCACCTGCTCTGGTAAGTTCCCAGATATCTGTGAACTTGGCAGCTTTCTTGACGTGGTGGTTTACGCCAGTCGTGTCCGTAGGTGGATGGAACATACCCCCAGCTCGATTCAAAGCCCTATATCTGCATCACTGTCATTTGTTTGTAAGGTGATTCAGCACAGTTGCAACATAAGTTTGTAAATGGAATGTTTTTCATCCATTGTTCTGAAGGACTCTTCCTTGGGCCAGTCATGTATCCCCAGCTGGATTCAAAGCCCTGTATCTGCATCACTGTCATTTGTAAGGTGGTTCAGCAAAGTTGCAACATAATTTTCTAAAAGGGATGTTGTTCATCCAATGTTCTGAAGGACGGTGTTTTTTGAAGTTTTTCTTTTCTTTCTTTTTTCCGTTTAAAACAGGTCCTTATGGTCCTGACTCCTTTCCATTCTGGGGAGCATCAGTCTGGTTCCTTTTCCCTCAGTAAGACAGAATGAGACATCATACACATTCTCAACCGCTTCCTTCTGTATGGCCGAAGGACCCCTGACCAGCACTGATTGGTCCCTGATATGGAGGATTGACTGTCAGCTTGCCATCCTTCGGGATTCATCGCAGGTTTGGATTCTACCAAGGCTGTCAGCTCTGCTTTCAATACCAGAACCTCTGTAGGATCGCCACACTTTCTTCAGGTGATGTTCAATTGCCTCCGCTTCAGTCTGCTGGCTTGATTTTTACAATTCTCCCCTCCAGTAGCCAATCACAGGTAAATTTCTTCCTCTTTGCCTCAGACTTGTGTGGGTTATGCTGCCAGCGTTCTTGACCTCGTGCCATCTGCACGTGATCTCTGTTTTCACCATGACTATAAGGTGGGCCAAGGGCGCCTCTTTGTCTGGTTAAGGCCGTCAATCGTCAGTGAACATCATCGTTTCCAGATGGCGCTCAGTGTGACCTTCCGCAGTAGCGCGTTTCCAGATGGTCCACATGTGACCTTTTGCAGTAGCACGTTTCCAGATGGTCCAGAGTGTGACCTTCCTTAGTAGCTGGTACCTTACTCTTGGCGGTCTTTGCACGTAAGAGGGAATTTGGATGGCTAAGAAAGTTGTGAGGAGGGATGGGGGCAGGGGCAGGGGGGGGGGGTTGTGAAAAGGAAGACCCACAGCGTGCTTGTTGAGTTCCAGACCCAAGCTTCAGCTCGCAAGTAATCAGGCAATGGATTATGCCCTCTTCTGTCCTGTTTAGGCACATTTTACACAGCTGAGAGCCTTGGGACCTGATTGTTTTCTCTGTCCATGGATCCATTGGTTTACTGTGAAGGCCACTTATGCAATCAGCCACTGCTGCTCCGGATCTTTGTGGGTCTGAGTTTTTCATATTTCTTCCATGGGATGGATTCATTAGCTTTGAGCTGTAACAGTTCCATCCATCTTTTTTGGATTGTCGGTGCTGGGTCTTTGGCCTCTTTACATGGAGGTCATGCCCAACATGCTAGTTCTGCCTTCCAGCTCCACACCCTTGGGTCAAACTCCAAGTCATCAATGGCTTTGTACGACTTGATGTTAATTGCTCTGACTTTCCTGAGCAGAAAGAACATTCCATTTGTTCAAGGTCCCTAGGCAGAACTCCTAATTCCTGGTTCCTGCCCCTGGCCACTGCGTAGGAGGTGAACCAGCCTTGTAACAGCTGCCTTGATTTTTTCTAACAAAGTGGAAGTGCGAGGCTATGCCCGCTTATAGCCCCTACGGGCCTTATTTGCAACAAGGTCGGCCGCCCTAAGTGAAGGCAGGCACGACGGGCCCTCAGGGCCTCGTTTTCAGGGTACCCCCGCAAATGGGGAAATTCAGGCAGTTGCACAGCATCAGTTGGTTGAATGAACTCAGGCCCTGGGCCGCCCGTGTGAATGAATGTAAAGCAGGCCCGGGGCTGGGTACGGGTACCAGGCCAAGCACAGGCCGAAAGCAGTTGGGCACATGCAACTACTTCAGGCCCAATGCCTGCATTCCTCGGGACTGGGCCTCAGGCTACCGGGGCCTACTGGAAGCTTCTTGGACTGGAYGCAGGCAGGCCACTGGGATAKAGGGAAGGGCCTGCCTCCTCATTGCACATTGGGGTGCTGGCTGCATGCGGCGACAGCGCTGCTGCGCTATTTGCTGGCTGGCGCCCTCGCACTCACGGGCGAGTGTGGAAGAAGCAGGCAGCCATAGCCACGCTGCCTGCTGTAAGCTGGGTTGGGCGCAGGTTGGTCCTTGGGTGCTAGAGGCATCTGTGCGGTGAGGATCGGGGTTGAGAGCGAAGCGGGAGTCATACCTGGTGCTTGAGGCGAGCGGCATTGGCCGCATATGCTCGTACTTCGGTGAAGCTGTTGAYGTCAACTTCGGCATTGTAGTAGTAGGCTAGATAGGATCTGCCATCTTGTATTCTGGGCGCCGAGCGCCAATAGGATACCAACTCTTGTTCTTTGTTGATGATGATGAGAGACAACTTCAGCATTGTCAATTATGAACTATTGCTGTGTTCTTATTTGGTATAACTCGTGATGCCATTCTGCTTATGGTTCGAGGTCATGGCTATTTGGTCACTCATGTATGATGCTGTTTGAGTTCTGGAATTAGCTATTGCTCATCTTCCTTGCAATTTGGTATCAGAGCTGTGGTACGATTGCGCTCATCTGGCGCTTGTCTTCTGCCTTATACGGTACATACATGCGGTCTGCTGGGAGAGTTTGGCCGTAAGTGGTGTGTAGTGAGGAGGGTGAAGACGAGTGGAAGGCGACCCAGGTGGTGAGGGGCATCGCCTGGAAGGCTAAGGTGTGAATATTGGGTGTTGGCAGTGTGATGAGAACTATCTGTTTGGTGATTGAAGCTGAGGTGGAACGGCGAAATGCTGGTTGTGCCGATGCTGTGACTGGTCATCGCAATCATCTTCAGGTCATCTGGTGAGATTATCTCTGTGATTGGGGGCAACATGAACGAGGTACGTTGCTCTTAACCTTACCTACCCTCTTCATCACTTCTTACCGTGAGGTTGTGAGTTCTGTCTTGAGAGTCCTCTCATCGTGAGGTGTCGTGAGCGCTCAACCTTGAGAGTCGTGATTGTTCACGTGGAGCATCTGGGGGAAGACGGGCGGAGCTTCTTGAAGGGCCCTGGACGAAGCACTGGGTCACGGTCACCATGCCAACCCACTGGGTGTAGTACACGCACGCTTCGCTGCAAGTCATTGGTTCTGCTGCTTGCGCATGATAGGGGTTAACTCGAGTGTGGCAGCCTCTACAGACGCTTACCAGACCGTCTATAAACATTTCTGGCTGGGGACTCGGCTCTGATCTGGCTGTGATCGTCGTCCTGCTGCGACGTAAAATAATTCCTGATGTCACTTGGGGGCGGACGTTAAATTGCCTCTTGATCAGCCAGATCATCCGAGTGGAAGGCTCGTCGGCGTACGAGGGTAAATAAGAGTGCTGTGGCTGCCTTGCTCGACGATAACCCGGGGCACAGGGGTGGGACCGGATTGCACACCTTCAGACACGCTTGGCTTCAGATGCTTAGGGACGTGACACCGAGACATTGAGAAGAACAAAGGGAGGGGTAGGTTCCAGGTGATAAGTTCGAGTTAATTCCATGCTATGAACAGACCCGGTCAGTCAACATTATTTTTATTATTG